TATATATATATATATATATATGTGTGTGTATATATATAAAAATAAACTTAGAAAAGTCAAAGTGAGAGTATCCAAAAGATAAAAAAAAATAATAAAAACAAAAAGTAAAGTATTGTTGATTGGGTTAACTTTTAAAAGATTCATTCTATTATTTAAGATTTATTCTATGTATATGTGTATGTAATGTACATGTCTTTAATGAGAATAAACTTTAAAGGATTAAAAAGGATTTTTTTTAGCATTTGGAATGTGACAACAGTGCACCAGCAGATAATGCTTATGATGAAATGATATGTGCAGGCTGTATGAAGAAACACAACTTTCTGTGGAAATATGCAACGAAACATACAGGTTATTTGGACTCTTATGATACCTACACAAACTGAATTGTAAATTATTATTTTTGATGTATTTAATTATAAGCTTATGAATATGTTATTTTGCTACAAGTAGTCCTAAAGAAAGCAGATGTAAAATTGGATGCATCTGAAAAAAATGAAGAAATAAACGTCAGTGAGTTGTCCAAAGGATGTCAAATGCCAAAATTTAGCTGTGCAGATACTAAAGGAAGCTGTTTTTGGATAGAGGGTTGGAGAGCCGCACTGTGCACTTGCGACGAATGCAAATCTGTGAGATATTGACTTTTTTCGTATACTTTTTTGTTATTATTGATTTTGTTATTTTGTTATTATTATTACATTTGTTAAATTTGTGCTTCCTTTTATGACAATCTTATTATATTTTTTATCGTCATTGTAGTTATATAATGCAAAAGGCATTGCATTTTTACTTGATCCAAAAGATAGTGTACAAGCATATGAGGAAGCAGGAAAAATGAATAAGCAGGAATCTCAATATGAAAAAGGCATGAAAGCTCTTGCCAGCATGGGGCATGTACAAAAGTTGACAGCGATTGAAGGTAAAACTCTGAGATTAAAAATATTCTATGAAATATCAAATTTTTAAATTAAATTTTTCAGAAAATGTATATCACTTCACCAATAATTTAAGCTATTTATAATTGTTTACAGAATATAACAATATGAAAGAACGGCTAATGCAATACCTACAAAAATTTGCTGAAAACAAGAAAGTTGTACGTGAAGAAGATATTAAAGAATTCTTTTCGGAAATGGAATCCAAAAAACGTCCTAAAGTGACAGTGCCAACATATTGTCGTTAAAAACTTGTATTTATACAGGGTCCCACAATTTTTGGCAAAGCGCTTGTGTTGCTAGAGCGAACTAAACTCTAAGTCGAAAAGTTTTTTGTACTGTTTTGCAATTTTTGAAATAGTTAACGAAATAGTTAACGAAAGTAGCCAAATTCGTCCGGTCTACCATCAAATGTAAACAGACGGAGATAAGATCGCCCAGCGAGGCATGCGTTTGCTAGGCCTGTCAATGTCTCTTATAAACAATATGCCTAGCTATGAAGAATACGGGTGCGTTCCGAATGAAGCGCATGATGATGATACATCATTTGTCCTTGTTGTTTATCAAATAAAGAAGGATAAAACGATATATCATGTTTTTCATGTAACTCGGAATGTACTCCATGTATATCTGCAGTGGTGTCATTCTGGCTTGCGCCAGTGATAGAAATTTGGCTCCGCGTAACACAGAAAATTAGCCTCTCCACTTTTGTTCCATCAAGTGATGCCACGCTCGATCAGCTTCGGCACTGAGTGAGCAATAGCATGCTATCCTTTTTGCTTTCCTTTTTGCCTGAAGCGCAATGAAGCGCACTTAGCATCGCTAGGCATATTGTGCACGGAGTCAAATTTCCATCATAGATTTGCGCTACCATTTGGTAATGCGTGGTGGGAGAAGAGTGGAGTATAGTTGCCGATAGCTATAGCTATAGCTTCATAGCAACTACTATGACAACTACTCCAATCTCCTATTACACATTACCAAGTGATAACGCAAACCAGAATCTGGCACAACTCTCTGGGCAGTCCTATTTTGCCGCGCGCTTGCATTCAGCCGGGCGAATTTGGTTATTTTTATAAATTCATATCGTTTTGAAAATTGCAAAATGGTAGAGAATATTTCGACTCAATTTAGTTCGTTCTGCACAAAAGCGCTTTGCAAAAAATTATGTGACACCCTGTACAGTCAGTTACAGAAAGGTTGCAACACTTTTTTTTCGATGGGTTTTGGAATGCCGCCTATTCACTAAAAACGATTGGTTCTTATTTGTGGATCCATGAATCGTTTGATGAGCAAACTGCATTCTGAAATCCATTGAAAAAATGTTGCAACTTTTCTGTGACCGGCTGTATATACTCTCAGTTAACGATGATCTAAACAAAAATAGATATTGTTTCTAGCAGGATATCTTGAGTTTTGAGAATTTTATATCTAATATTTAATTGGTACATGTCACTACATTGAAAAATCTCCATATATATCTTGAATTCATATATATATATTGAAAAATTTCCATATATAATTACAGGAAAAGATGAAAAGAAATGTGAAGAAACGTAATTTGCAAATATATATAAATATAATGTCAAAAAAAGATATTAATTAAGAGAAAAGATTCACGGTTTCTTTGCATGTATATTATAACATTTAATCTTTAATTCGAACTAATTACGAATAAATTTTTTATTGAAAAATATAACGAGCAAGTTCTCGATTTTCTGTCGTTTCCTTGTCATTTCTTTTTTTGCTCCCATACTTTCACATTTGCATTCCATACAACTGTTCATTGATGGAGCGAGAAATTTTGCCTTTTGCTTTTTTATATTTATTAGATTTTTTTTTACAAATTTTTATGTAGACTCATTTTATCGATACATATTTAATATTATTTTCTGAGATTAAGAATACTTCTCAGTATACAGCTAAGAACTCTGCGATGGTGGCGACAGAATCAGACAGAGCCACACACATGCACGAGCCCATGTCCGTGTGCTCGCCTTCGGTGCGCCATGAGCGAACGAGACAACGAGCCATCCTTTTCGTTCAGATCGCTTGTTTCAAAAATGCTTTTTCGGCAATCTCAGCCACTCGATGTATATCAGTAAGGGGTGAGAGGCATTCGAAATAACATAAATTTTAATAAATTATACCCCTCCCATTAATCCAGAATAGTATAAATAAATCATGTTAAAACGCAATAATTTATGAGATATTTAATTGTTTATGATTTTTTATGAACGTTATATATCTCCTTCATAAATTCAAATAGCAAGAAGTTTGTGCGCTTGTAAGGCACGAGATCGGAACGTTAGAGAATTGAATCCTGCTTTTTTTTTTCATAGTTTGTTTTCCGAAATAAGTAATAATAAAATAAATATATTAGGTCAAGTATATTTTCATATAATTATTTTGAAATAATTCATGTAGGGGAGTTTAAAGCAACAATTGTAAAAAAGAAATCCATTTCGTTTTCCAATTGACAATAAAAAATTATATTTTTATAATTATTTCTAATATTATTGGTTAGGTTGGTGCATTTTATATTACATTAATCTTACACTTCGGATTTAAATTTTTACTATTTGACATTACAAATTTTATTAGTGGATTGTATTTATACACATTGCGATTATTAAGGTACTCATTTTTACTTATATTTATATGAATCACTATTAACGTTTTTATTTATACTTTTAAAAAATTTTTTCTTAATTTACTCTACATATAGTTATTTATTTATAGAATATATTTATAGAATTAAATATTTATCTTTTTACTAGGGATAATAAATCCCTAATATCAATTCGATGTCGATCTCATTATCATTTCTGACTGAATCCCTACGCTCTTAGCGTACCGTCTCATATATACGGAATCGGAACGGATTTCTTACTAGAAAATTAAGTTCACTATAATTCCGTTCCATAAGAAATTTTTCTATCCGTTCCATGTAGATGGAACGGAATGGAAACAGACGGAATGTCGCTTCGGTCGCAAACTTGCAATTTGCTTAATTTAATCGATATTTCGTTATTTTAATGCGACTAAAAGCAGTAATATGCATAATTTGTGCAATTATCTTATCTATAATATTATTTTGAATATTAAAAAATACTGAATTATAAGAGTGAGATATATTTTTATTGTTACTAAAATTCCATTGCGTTCCGGCGACATGAGATGAGTAGAGAAAATTTTTATGGAATGGAATGGCATGTTCAGCTGAGTTGGTTGAATCTAAAAATTGAAATGAATATTCAGAAATTTTTTTTGTAAATCTACAACGATGAATGAAGAAGTGTTATTACTAATGTTAAAATTATTGCGAAAGGTAAGAAATCTATTCCGATATTAAGAGTGTGCGAAAATTTGATTTCGCTTGTACTTTAACTTTTATTGCAACAGAAATACAAGAAAACAAAAATTCTGGATGTAGTCAATGTTTACACAAAGAATGAAACGGTGCATCAAGGTGCAAATGACAATTTAATCCTTGAAATGCAAATGAGCGATCGTAAGACGTTCTTCAATTATTTCAGAATGACATCGGAATTATTTAAAGAATTGCTGGTATTATTGTTGGACTATGTATATATAAAACAAGAATATGTCGTATTGAAAAATAAGAATTATTATTATTAATTTTCTTCTTCGAAGTTATTGTAAATTTATTGTAAATTCTCACACATTAATAATAGCCGAATCGACATAGCTTGCAATCGACATTCTGTTGATTTTGTATCGTTTTTATACTGTTCCGACCATGATTTCGATGCAGTAGAGAAACGTTCTTACGGAACAGAACACTAGTGAACTCATTTTTAGTGAGAAATCCATTCCGTCAGTCCGATTTCATGTACATGGGATGGCACCCTTAAAGGTAAATTTAGTAACATTATTTTTTTCTATCGTTGTAGATTTCAAAAAAAAAGGTTTCTGAATATTCGTTCCAATTTTTAGATTCAACCAACTTAGCTGAACATATCATTTCGTTCCGTAAAAATTCTCTACCTACCCCATGTAGCCGGAATGGAATTTTGGTAACAAATCTCACTCTTATAATTCAGTATTTTTTAGTATTTAAAGTAATGTTATAGATACTTTGTGGTAACTATACCGTAATGTTATAGATAATTTGTGAATAAACATTACTACACTTCCTCGCAGATGAGAAATTTCAATCTTTTTCTTCAAATTGGCATACATATTTGGCATCTTATCTAGAAATACCTGAATGCTAAACATTCTTCACTATTATGACAGATATTCAACTGATTTTGAGAACAAAAATGAAAGGAGTTGCAAAATTTTAAGTAACAAATACAAATCATAACCTGTAATGACCATAACTCGTCACAGCTCAGTGATGGAATGGGGACAGAGCAAGGAGTCAGAAAAGAAATAAAAATGGTGAACGCGAATACCTAATTTTCTAATGTTCTAGTGTCGCTTGCTTCTTTTCTCCTCTATCTTACCGCGTTACATATAATAGAAGGAAAAAGAAACTAGCGGACATGGTTTGCGCCGATTCCTATAGTTATCAAGTTAGCTTCTCTACCGTGCTACATGTAATCGCACCCATAGAGGAGAAAAGAAGCAAGTGGCATGATTTACGATGGTCCTATATAGTTACCTAGGCCGGTATTCATAGTTGAGTCTTATTTCAAGACCGTCTTAAGTAATATCTTAATGTAGCTTTCTGATTGATTCGTGACTTCTTAAAAGCATATTTAAGACGGTCTTGAATAAATCTAACTAAATACTAACTGAATACTGGCCTTAATAAGGGTGCGAATACATGTAGCGTGATATGCGGTACGCGGTACAGAAATTAAAGCTGCGTTCGGAAACACTCACTGGTGTGCTACTAATACACACCAGCTGTTCGGAAATACTCGTGTGTACTCGATATACACTAGTATGAGATCATTCGGAAACATCGAGTCACACCGAGTGACACTAAACTACCCGTGCGAAAAGCAAGGGGAGTGTGTTATGGCTGCAGCACAGACTTGTATAACGCATAATACATTAGGGAATCGACCAATCGAAATTCTTTTCCATGAAATGAGAGAAAAGAAAAATTTCATCGCGTTCTTGTCAAAAAATTTTGAGCAGTTATATTAATCTAGAAAATTTGTCTAGTTTTATTATTTTTTAATTTATTTTTATTTTAATTTTCTTTTTATATTGCTCTACCTTTAATAATATTATACAATATTATATAATATTATATACAACAGATTATTTATAAATGTTGTAAAATTGTATATGTCCAATACTATTTAAAACAAAACTAATAACTAAGATCGACAAGTCTCGCAGAAACTAATAGATCTTTGGACGATAAAGCAATATCTAACATCTAAAGTTTTATATCATTGATGTGAATTTTCTTTAAGAATTTACAATAATAAGACCTGTTACAATCAGAATGGTCAATTTGAATGGTCAAATCTTATGCTGATTCTACAATGAGTCGATAATCGAAAGGCTTAGTCGGTAAAGTTGACAATAGTCAACTTGTAAGACTAATGCTGATTGATCAAATTCATCGATTAAGATATGTAATAGGCCTCTACGATGAGATCAATGAGCCATAAGTCATAAATCAGAAATCAGAAACTTGACTACAGTGATTGATTCATTTCTAATTATATATAATAACTTATTATATATAATAACTTATAATTTATTATCTATTTATTATCTTTTTGTAGAATAAGATTACCGATTCATTGTAGAATCAGCATTAGATTAATCGAATTTTCACGATGAAAAATTTTATTGTCTAAAGTCGATACAACAATATGTAATTACCCGATAGTGAAATGTTTAATGGGCACCGGTAATCGTGGAATGATTTATATTCTTTCTTTTTATAAACATATACCGCTATGGTTCCTCTTTACAAACATTCCACCGTCTTTTTTCACCGGTGAATTGTTTAGCTCGAGATTAGAGTTAAGCGTGAACGGTGAGGTGACGCATATGCCATACGGAAGCCGTTCGAGAACATTCATCCAAAGGTAATACACGATATCCCCACTACTTCTCCACTGAAGTCATCGAAACACACCAATGATATTTCCAAAACATAGCCTAACTAGTAACGTTTTCTCTTGGGATACACTGAGTGTAACCTTATACTATAACAGTTGCGTGTAAATGTTGTATCAGTGCTGCACTACAAAAGTGTACATATATCATAGTGTATTCTACTTCATGCTATCGTGTTTAATTCTGCTGTCGGACTTCCATTTTCAAATTTTTAATGTCACACTGGCTCTACACTATCTCTTTGATATCGTGTAGCAAAACCTCACTTCGTCAATAAAATTTGCACTACACTATAGCCACGGAAACATGTTACACTGAATGAGTTCGCCTATTACCAGTCAAGGAAATACGCTACACTGTCCTGAGTGTTGCATTGGTGGGCAATAGTGCAGCCAAGAGAAAAACGCTATAGATAATTATAGGAATCGCCCAAACCGTGCTGTTTGCTTCTTTTCTCCTCTATTATATGTAGCGCGGTAAGCGGCATAGGCTAGTGACAAATTTACATTACTAAGCACTTTTTAATAGAATTAATTGATTTAAATGCAATTATTAAGTAATTTATTGAAAAAATAAGAGGAAATTAATAAAATGTGCATAAGTTAATATATTAACAAAAATTCATATTAAAGTTTA